TAAAGTGCTTCGCTTATGGCTTTCACACCATGATTTGAGTTGTGTTGTTGAAAATGGGCTAAGCTTGCTATTTCGTAAAATCGGACCTACTCTGGCTGTTGGAGACGCCATCTATGTTTGGTTGTTTTCAACTGTTTCGCTTTTTTTCTCTTTATTGCACTAACCACGTTCGTCCGCAGCATTTGTGTATGCATATAAATAAAATAAAATAAAGGATATTTTCCATATTGTGCAAAAATGATCTCTCTTGTTTATACCTGTTTTGTACTTATTCGACTTCAATTTACTCACTTTTTGTTATCTGGAAACTGAAGTTTTTCCAAGCTTTCAATTAGTTCTAAGCATTATGTTACTCATCACTACGTACCACAAACAATGCAGGACGCCGTACTGACTCTGACTTGGTGATGACGCAAGCAACGCCGGACTATGATACGAGTGACACCACAGCGGCACACAGGTATACTACGTGCTTTTGAGCTTACTTCGATCAACGTTTTTTTTGCAGAGCCAGACTTTATCATCTTTTCGGACTCATCGATAAGGAGTTTGACGCTTTGTATGCCGAAAACTGCGCATGTAAGTGTTTCGCGAAGAGAGTGCAAAAATGCATTGCTTTTTCAGTACGTGCTAAAATTGAAGCGCTAGACGTCGGAGGTGATGGCGACGTTTCTGTGCTGCAAGGAGATCCGTTCACTCCAACTAATGAAATCGTCAAAAGTGGTGGAAGCAAGAGAGGTAAATATGTCCACCGTTTGTCGCCCAACTTGTTTGGGTGCTCGATAATCACTTCTCAGTCCCTAAGACGGCGATTTTTGCTTTTCTATCTTGGCTTGAAATATTGAATTCTTTTGCCCATGCCCAGTCTATGTTTGACGCTTGATCCATTTAAATTCACTTCAGTGTTGGACAAACAGTGTGTTATCCAATAAAGAAGTGGATCAACTGGATCCAGTATGTCTTGTGCCTCAGTTTGTTAGGTGTAGTCTCAAAATATTAGCCCTTTCCGGGATCGGATGGCAACATGTTTGCCTGCTAAGGTAGACGCCAGACTTATCCGGTTTGATCGGTTCCTGCGGTCCACTCCTTCGCTATTGGTCAAATCACTAAATTGACCAATAGCGAACGGGTGAACCAAGACGAACCGGATAACTCTGGCGCTGTATACCTACCGTTCTCTTCTTACCTTGCCAAAGTGAGAGATAGCATTCCACGCAAGCATCAAAACGTTAGAAACAGCTTCGGAAACAACGACGATAACGAGAGGTGATTAGATTGCAGTAACGCCCTTACTAATAAACCTCTTGCGCAAGTGGCATCGTACCTCGCCAGTGAAGCGAGAGACCGGTTCAGATCTGAGAGAGAAACGGGATCTGTTAAAAAGAAAAATGGTCTAATAAAGAATTTAAAGAAAATTTAGTATAAAAAAGCGATAGAAATGTGATGCTTTTATCAACCCCTTGTAGTCCAATTGCGTGTAGAGAGTAAGCAGGTGCAAATTCTAACACATTGACGACCAATTTTTAATTGTCTGCCATTTGGGACCAAGGCGATTTGCGGAAAAGC